GTTTTCCTTTGCTAAAGTAAGGAAACTTTGCTTCCTTTGCTCCTATAAACAAACTCGCGAGACTAGCATACCTCAGAGGCGTGCGCGCTGCGCATACGTGCTGCGTCATCTGCCGGAACGCCTTCCGCATATGAAAGATAACGGAAGTGAGAGAAAAGTGTTTATTACGTTTGAAATATGGATATTTTTCTTTTAAAAATACATGGATTCGCTACAGGAGGCCTTTATTCATTCCCCGGAGCCGTCTGCGGCACGTTTTATTATGGATGCGCGCGCTTTATTTGACGACTTGTGGACTGTTCAACTGCAACACCCGCTGACTGCAATGATAGAGCTTGGAATAGCCAGGACAATTTTTTATATAACTCGGACCGGATTCGTCTGAAAGAAGAAAGTCATATACACCTAGGATGCTTCGAGGGTGAGTAAAACACACGCTTATTTTCATTTTTGGATGAACTAATTCTTTAATGTACATGTGGGATGTGGAATGACGTGTTCTGATGTCATGAAAGGGCCTCATTTAACCCCCCAAGACCTCCATTAAACCAGGCTGTCTATAACTTAGAAATATGAGTATATGTGGGTGTATTGAACATGTATTTTCTTGATTGAATCCTTACATTCCAGCTCATCCCAGAAGGGATGGTGCCAATATCTTAACGTGTGATTATAAAATCACACGTTAAGTAGGTTATAAAAGTAGGTTATAAAATAATATTAATAAAGAGATAAACAGACCAGTCTGCCTGTGTATTTAATTTTAACATTTTTGTTAACTGCATACTGTGCTATTTGTTATGAATCTATCTATCTGACTCTTGATCTGGTGTATATGTTGTAGGTGGTCACAGTTAACTGGATTTTATAGAGGAAGTGCATGATTAGTGCAGATAATGCAGTGTGTAGGCTGGACGCCTTTCTTGTGACTCTGACAGAATCGTTCAGTATTTCTCTTCTAACCAGGTTCATGACCCAGAGATGAAACGCAGTCATTCTGATGTTCAGAATCTCAAGTTCGTTTTATAGACGAACCCAGCAGGGTTCAAATCAACTGCATACGATTCAATCCTTACAGGGTCTATCAAACTGGTCTCTGCTGGGAATATTATCACAGCTGTTGGCTGGTCGTGGTGGTTAATCCATTCATTTGTCCAATATTTGAACTTCAACTCACTCCAAGATCATGAAACGAAAGACTGTACAATTACTGCTGCTCCCAGGACTTTTTATGATGTAAATGGCCACAGATGAAGTGTAGTAATCTTTCTTTCTTGGACAGAATCTTAAAGTTCAATCCAAAAATTAAAACCATTCTCTTACCTAATGTTGTTCCAAACCTGTATGATTTTCTTTCTTCAACAAGATTCTCCATTCCAAAAAAAAAAAAAAGACTAAACATGACAGAACTTAGTCAAGATGGACGCATGTATTTGATGTGAATGAAACGGATTCTAGTCCATTCTGTTGTTGTCTTAAAGTCTTAAGCTTACATTTAATTTTTGCTACAAACAAAGTAAAAAAAAAATGTAAGCAGTTTCAGTGTTTTATGATTCAACTACCAACATAAAGGAACGCGTTAACGGCAGTTTTTTTCCATTCGCGCCAAATATGATTTGAATTTTCAGAAGCGCGAATGAGATTTGAAGGGCGCGGCAGGAATATTTTCAACGAATAACTTATTGAAGTTAAATAAATAATGACAAAACGTTTAATTTGGTGTGAATTATGTCTTTTATTCTTTTAACAACTGTCTGGAATTGTAGTTTTTACATAGAGAGTACATTATTTGGGAAAACATTAAATTATGTTATTTTAAAAAGATT